CATTTCCCCTCTATCATTAGCAATGTATAGTAATGAGAGAAAAAAAAAAAAAAAAAAAAACCCAACCTCCCAAGCCAGCATTTTATCTGCAAGCTGAGCATGGTTCAGAGCTCGCCACCCCACCAGCAAACTGCCACTGGCCAGCCACACCTGGCCTGAGTCCCTTCTTCCAGGCACAGCTTTACCTGCAGTACCCAAAGCCTGGACACCTGGAGGAAGAGGAGGGCGGTTAGCTCTCACAGGTGGAAGCAACCAGGATTAAGTCTTCCGAGAAGCAGCAGCAGCTGTTTTCTGGTGTGTCAAACCCTGAAATGCTGAAATCACAGCAAGTATGAGCTCCAAAAGGGCCAGGGCAGACATGGGTAGGCTGGTGCACAGCTAAGGTCTTGGTTCCAGGAGTGTTTTTTCTGAGAAGCTTTTCTCACACCAGCTCCTGATGTGAGTCAGGTGTCCCTGCTCAGGCGTGCACAGCAGCGGAGACTCTTCAAGGACATCATCGCTGAGATTGTCTCTCCACTAGATTGTAGCGCCTCAAGCAAAAGCCTCCAGGTGGGTTTAGCATGCGTGGCCCAGAGAAGGGCTCAGGGAGGTAGGTCCGGAGCAGCTGCCTGAGCAGCCGGAGGGAGCGTCGTACCGCGCCACGGCTGAGAGCAACTGGGACACCGTGACTATGCTGCGCAAGAAAGGCCCCAAGGCCGCGCAGGCCAAGACCAAGAAGGCCATCTTAGCAGCTCAGAGACGAGGCGAAGATGTGGAGACGACCAAGAAATGGGCTGACAGGCAGAACAAGCAGCACCCGATCACCAAGAACACAGCCAAGCTGGAGAGGGAGACGAAGGAGCTGCACCACGACCCGGTGACCCTGGAGGTGGGTAGAGTGATCCAGCGCGGCCGGCAGAGCAAGGGGCTGACGCTAAAGGACCTGGCCACGAAAATCAATGAGAAGCCACAAGTCACCCTAGACTATGAGAGTGAACCGGCCATTCCAAAAACCAGGTTCTGGGCAAAATTGAGAGAGCCATCGGCCTCAAGCTCAGGGTCAAGGATATCGGCAAGCCCACTGAGAAGGGCCCGCAGGCGAAGTGAGCACAAAGCCTCGAAACAGCGCGTTCGGCTGAGCCGTCCTGCTGGGGTCCCTGAGGCCAGCACTGACGAGATCACCACGCGGCCCTGTGGAACACGGGTCAGGCCAGCAGCCGACCCATCCTGCTGTCAAACAAAGAAACCTTGTAAGCCTTGAAAAAAAAAAGCAGGGGGGCGCTCAGGATATATTCACTGAAATTGCATGTTTTATTTTCCTAGTGCCAAAATGCTCGATAAATGCCTTGTGAACTCAACTATGTTAATTTGAGAACTTTGTTGCTTGAAGAGCAGTATCCCAGGGCTGGAGAGATAGCTCAGCAGTCTAAGTGCCTGCTTGGCAAGCACAAGGACCCAGGTTCAATCCCCAGTACCATATGCAGGCCAGCCCCAAAACCAGGTGTGGTGGCACACACCTATAATTACAGCACTGGGGAGGCTGAGACAGGAGGATCACTATGAGTCTGAACTGTATCCAATAAATAAATAGCAATATCCAAAAACTTCTCTGGTGGGTGTTACAGTTTGTATCTAGGTGTCCCCCCAAAGCCTCATGCAGTCATGGGACAGCTTCTAGAGTTGGTGATTAATCTATGATCCAATTCAGGGATTATGGGTGTGAGTGCTGCACTGCCCTGGGGTGGGTAATCTGCACACAATGTGGGGAGGGAAGAGAGGCTGGCTAGCGGCTGCAGCTGCTGCTCTCACCTTTGCTCTTGGCCGTTTTCCACCACCGTGAACTGCTGCCCTCTGCCCTGTGCTGCTCTGCCTTGGAGCCAGCCGAGTATGGACTGAAACCTTCACAAACCATGAGCTAAATAAACCTTTCATTCCTTAATTTTAGGTGTTGGGTATTTTGTCCCAGCAATGAGGAAAAAGCAACTGCGACAGTGGGGCAAGATAGAACAATTTACAAACTAGTCTGAAACCCCAAATCTGAAGTCAAATCCATGGGAGTTCCCACATAAACTCTCTCACCTACTGTGTAGGATCTACAGACCCACAGAAAGGTTGTTCTGTTTCTCTATTTCTCAATGTCATCTATAGGTTGGGGATGGTATTCATATCCCTCTCCTGTAGTCATGAGAATCCAGGGTCTGGAACTGGTGCCTCAGATGCTGGCAGTTGGGGCACATGAAGTGGGCATCACCACACAGTTATTAGCAGTACCCTGGAACTTAGGGAAAACGGACACTCTACCCACGGTCAGGGAGAGGCCACACTTAGCTAGACTTACCCAGAACCCAATTATACGAGTGGCCACTAATTTGATTTGTTGGATTCTTTTAAAAATTAAGTTGGTTGGGGTCTCTTAAAACTAAAATATAAATTCCACTTTGACTATAAAAGTTTTAAAAATGTTTATAGCCCAAATTGTGTTTTATTGCTTATTACTGCATCTCAGTTTCCAAGGGATACGTCCTGTGAGCATCACTATGGGCAGTGTCCTGTCAAGTAAAGCAATGCAGGACCCCAGCTTTGGTGTTTGGAAGCTGCAGCTGCCCATTGCTACGGCTATAGCACAGGTGTGGAAATGGACAGAGCTGGTGAACCCAGGCCTCAGAGGCTTCAAACTCCCTGCACTGTGGCTCTGCTTCCCCCATCTCATCCCCCCCAGCACTGTCCTTGGTTTTGGCCCTTCTAGGCCATGATTAATAATTTTCTCATATATATATATATATATATATATATATCCCAGGGAAATAGCTCAGTAGAATAAGCGCTTGCCTTGCAAGTGCAGGGTCCTGAGTTCAATCCCCAGTACTACAAAAAAATAAATAAAATATATATTGAGGTATTATTTGTGTATCACAAAATTTAGTAAGTATACAATTTAATGTTTTAGCGAAATTACAGAGTTGTACAGATATCCTACAATCCCATTTTAAAACAAGTCTATCTCCTCCAAAGTCCTTTATGTCTACCAGCATCAACTGCCTTTCCCCACCCTTAGTCCTGGGGGCCTGTTATGATGTCTAGTTGTCCCCACAAAAGCCTCATGCAGTGATGGGCCCAAGGCCTTCTAGAGTTTGTGATTAATTCATGATTCCATGCTGGGATTATGGGTGTGCCTGGGGCAGATAGATGGATTCAATATAAGGGGCCCATCTTCTACCTCCTAGGGAAAAAGGGAAAGAAAAAAATCTGAAGCCAGCCATACGCTCCCGACAGTGTCTCCAAGAGTGACATGGCCAGCTCTTGCTGAGCTCTCGGACTGTGAGGGATTTTACAATTGCACCCCTTTGCTTTGCTCAGAAAAACTGGTGAAAGTAGAATTAGTACCAGAACCCAGAGGTCTACCTTCCAGCTCCTCAACAAGTCATTTCCAATTTGGCCACACTTGGGTAGGTAGGGTGGTATTTTCATTTCAACTCCACAAAGCCAACCCTCTAGCTTCTCCAATCCACTCCAAAGTACCTACTGCCTGGTAATGGATTTCAACTTCAGGTGGGTTCTAGAATTTTATCCAAGAATTTTTTTTCATTTACAATGGTATTTCTTTAAACACTCTGAAATGTCTTCATCATAGAAAGCGGTGATTTTCCTTTTATTTCTGTCTTGGTGAATCCTTTAGGGATTCTCTCGGAAAAGCAGCTTGATTCATTATTTGGTTGTCTTCATCACCATCACCGTTGAAAAGTCTCATCAGTGTGTAAACTAGTTCTATCAGAGCTCTCAAATTATCCTTAGGGCCGGCCAGATAGCTCCGTGGATTAAAGCACCTGCAAGCAGGTGAAGGAGCCATCCCCAGCCTGCCATGCTGCCCACCCTCCACACTGAGATGACAGTTGAGACTGGGCGTGGTGGCGTGCGCCTGTAATCCCAGCTCTTGGGGAGCTGTAAACAGGAGGATCATTACAAATCCAATCTAGTAGTGAGACCCTCAACACCCTGTAGACCCTTCCCTAAAAAAATGCAAACAAAATAAAATATGAATAAATAAAATTATCTTTAAACAACTAAAAGGGAAGAGTCACCCATGCTTAGATTTAACAGGAATTTTTGCAACTGTTTTTTCATTATCCAGCTCAGTTTGTTATCAGCAGCAGGTGAAGGGCCTGGCGAAAAGCATCTTATCTCTGCCACAGGTGGGGTAGGGGTAGTTCTGGGTTTAAAACAGTGGTTCCTCAGTATGGAAACCTCTGAGCTGGGGCGACAGCTCAGCAGCACAAGCACCTGCCTGGAAAGTTCAAGGTCACTAGTTCCATCCCCCAGTTCTGGTCCAGGAAACTGCTGGCCCTGGAATTGGGTGTGGTGGTGCACACCTAAAATTCTAGAAATGGAGAGGCTGAAACAGGAGGATCACTACAAGTCTAAACTGCATAGCAAGATCCTGTGTCAAAAAATAAAAAAAGGGTAGGTACCCCACCACCAGCCCCTGCACTGCTCTCCTTGGGAATTTGTTAGAAATGTACATTTGGGAGCCCTAATTCAAATTTACCAGCTGAAGCTATCCAGGTGATGTACTTGATTCAGATGTGCTGTAAATTTGCTGAATTACAGACTACAGTGGTGACTGATTTTAGAAACAGCTGCTTGAAAAATAATTGCCGTGACCAGCTATAGTGATTCCTCCTGCCACCCTCCAGGAACATGTCCCACTTACATGTATGTACTCTTCATTTATCATTTATGAGTGTTTTTATTACTCTACAGGGCTGGCATTTAGCCAGACTAAGAGGAAGCAGCCCTGTGTTCCTGCTGCGGGTTCAGTGCACTCACAGGTATATGCATGCAGCAGAGAAGAGCTCAGCAGTCAACCTTTCATTCTCACCGAACAAGCAAGGAGGAGGATCTAGAAGTGTCACTTGACACTGACGACATAGCCCATTCCCCCTATGCAAAAAAGGAGCCAATACAGAAAGACAACCCTAAATAAGAAGCTAACTTCTGTAAGGAGCTGAACAGTAACACAGCTGCCCTGACCAACTCCCACTCCAGCACCATGAATGCTTCCTTTGCTCAGCTCCATTTTGCAGGAGGGTATCTGCCTTCTGACTCCAAGGACTGGAGGACCATCATCCCGACTGTGCTGGTGGCCATCTGCCTGGTGGGGTTTGTGGGGAACTTGTGTGTGATTGCCATCCTCCTTCACGGTGCCTGGAAAGGAAAGCCATCTATGATCCACTCCCTGATTCTCAATCTCAGCCTGGCCGATCTCTCCCTTCTGCTGTTTTCTGCACCTGTACGAGCTACAGCTTACTCCAAAGGTGTCTGGGATCTAGGCTGGTTTGTCTGCAAGTCCTCTGACTGGTTCATCCACACATGCTTGGCAGCTAAGAGCCTGACAACTGTTGCTGTGGCCAAAGTCTGCTTCATGTATGCAAGTGACCCAGCCAAACAAGTAAGTATCCACAACTGCACCATTTGGTCAGTTCTGGCGGCCATCTGGGCGGTGGCTAGCCTGCTGCCCCTGCCAGAATGGATTTTTAGCACCACCAGGCATCACGCAGGTGTGGAAATGTGCCTCATGGATGTGCCAGCAGGAGCAAAAGAGTTCATGTCAATGTTTGGTAAGCTCTACCCTCTCATGGTATTTTGCTTTCCATTACTTCTGGCCAGCTTTTACTTCTGGAGAGCTTACAGCCAATGTAAAAAACAAGGAACGAAGACTCAACATCTTAGAAATCAGGTGCGTTCCAAACAACTCACAGTGATGCTGCTGAGCATCGCCATCACCTCGGCACTGCTGTGGCTCCCTGAGTGGATAGCCTGGCTGTGGATATGGCACCTGAAGGCTGGAAGCCCAGCCCCACCCCAGGGGTTCATGGCCCTGTCTCAAGTCCTAATGTTTTCCAACTCTTCAGCAAATCCTCTCATTTTTCTAGTCATGTCCGAAGAGTTCAAGGAAGGCTTGAAAGCCTTTTGGAAATGGATGATCACTAAAAATCCATCTGTCTTGGAGTCTCCGGAAACACCAGCCGCCAACACTGAGGTTCCTGCTGACAAGGCTCCATCCCAAGAGTCCCCAGCACCCATTCCAGAGAAAGAGAAAGCTGGTATTCTCAACTCAAGCAAAGACAAGACTGAGAAGGCCGAGATTCCCATCCTCCCTGATGTAGAGCAGTTTTGGCATGAGAGGGACACTGTTCCTTCAGTACAAGACAATGACCCTATCCCCTGGGAACATGAAGATCAAGAGATGGGGGGCTGTGGTAAATAGATTTAAATGTCAAAGAAAAATAGTGATTACTGTATTTACTTCTACTGCTTAAAAATGCTGTTGACTTTGCCATATAAAATTATTAATATAAGGAATTATAAAAAAAAAAATTAGGAATTGTAAAATGTTTCACATTCCATGTTTTCACAATGTCTGATCTGGTAGGTAAAATAAAATGTAATGATTATGCTTCAGAATTATAACCTGGCTGTTCTAAGAATCTACCTTAAATGTTATGTAAACATGCTGCCAAGTAGAGAGCCTGGCCGTTTTGTTCCTGGTTCATAATAATTTTTACTGGAATCCTTTAGGGCCAGACTAGACTGTGTTGTGCTGGCTGGGAACTTACTTGTGCCCAAACCTAAGCCCATCTACCTTCAGGTTCTTCCTAAATTTGCTGTCCCTAATTTTATCTGTTTAGTTTCCACATAACCAAGCTGAAAATGTACACTACATAAAAATCTTAGCACTCGATTCCCAGTACTTAAAAAATGCCTTAACACACTGAATAAATTTTAGTGTTATCTTCATTTGCTGAATAAATGTTAATTTTCTTAATGAAAACCTGTATAATTTCTGACCAAAGCTCACAGAATAAGAAACACCACTTTGCTCTAACTTTTGGACTAATTTCAAACTATAGCTGTTTTTGGCCAAGTTTAAGTAAATTCAGACTTTGCCTTAAATCATAAAAGGCTGTTTTAATCTTTAAAGCCATCTAAATGAGTCTTCAAAGTCTGAGACTTTAACCAGCCTAAAGTGACACTCTATACTGATGTGGAAAAAAGAATTTTAAAAATGACTTCCCTTTTCCAAGGAAGGAAAGTTACTCTTCAACAAGCAGAACTGTTTTCCTCCCAGCATCTTTTCTCTCAAGATGAAGTATGGCTGATGACACAGGCATGCGTGTCCCTCATCTTTCTTGTTAAAAGATATTGTTTACCAATAGCAATGAACTGTTCAAACATGTAAAATATGGCAAAGCTTCTAAGTTATGAAAATGACTCAGGAACAAGCAAAAGCAAGCATCGGAGAGTAACATAAACATTAAGATAGAAATTGGCTAGCAGAAAATAAAAGCCATATAGCTAATGCAGAGTGAAATGCATTAGAAATTAATGTTCCTAAGCATATGGTAAATTTTGAGTATTAGGCAACTCTTCATTTTATAGCAAGGTAAAGTATAGCTAATAAAGCATAATAATGATAGTTACACACACACAGACATACAGACACAACATTTTGGAAAAGGACACTTTATCCATAAGCTTGATTACTTCTTATGGAACTCTGGTGTATTTTCATGGAGAGAGTTCTTGCAGGGGAGAAAACCCTCTCTAGAGAGCAATGGGAATTCTGAAAATATTAAGAATTTTTAATGCAGCTAGACAAGGTGGTTCATGGCTGCAATTATAGTCACTGCGAAGGTAAGGCAGGAGGACCCTAAGTTGAGGCAGCGTGGACAACCTAGTAAAATAAAATGGACTGAGAACAGA